TTTTATTTTACATATATACATGTTTTGCCAGCACAGATATATGCACCCTACGAGTGCAATACTTACAGCCAGCAGAGGGTGTTAGAACCCCTGAACCTGGAATTACATATGGTTGTGAGCTGCCATGTGGCTGGCCGGAAACAAACCTTTAACCACTGTGCCATCTCTTTAGCCCCTGGGCAGTCTTCTTAAGACCCCCAAACCATGGTCTTCTCAGCAGAATGAGGGGTTAAGTTTTACTGTCTCTGAAGAAGTACTGTGCACCTCTTCTCACAGAACAGACCACTGCCATTTATCAGAGGCTAACTACAAAGCCGAAGTGTATCTTCTTATGTAACTACACTCTTTTTCTCATGGTGAGAAATCTGCCTTTTGCAAATATGTTTTCTGCATGGTGGCATTACATTAACAAAGCAGGTTAACAGCCGGGGGTGGCCAGGGTCTACTGTGTCCCAAGTGTGGAGACTTCAGCTTGATTACCTTTGTGGTCACTAAATTCTGTATAAGCTTATCTTTAAGAATTCACTACTGTGAATATTATGTTTAGTTTATATCAGTAATGATGCTGGGAAGCTCCTGGGCCTTAGCAATCTTCTTATAGTATGGACTGAGAACCTGATCTTTAAATGTGGCTCTTGGTCAGCAGTCGCTCAGACCATAACAAATGCTTTTGAGTACCTAGTGGAAGGGAGAGAAATTAAACCAAATATTGGATTTTTTAAGTAAACTGAATTGTGGGTGATAGTTAAATTCATATTCAAGATAATTATCTTTTGACAATTTCAGATTGAAATAAAAAAAACCTAACTGGCTGATTTAACACAGACTGTAGCAAAGCTGTCTCCTTTCTGTGAGGTCCAGAGCTTTTAACTGTCTCTGCCTCCCACTCCCATCTTGCCTTGGGAGCACTGGGGTTACAGACCTGTGCTACTGAGCCTTGAACTTGCAGAATTTGGACTCAAGTCCACCCTTGTGTGACAGACACTTTACCCACTGAGCCATCGACCCGCCGAGTTATGCTTTTTGTGTAAGCAATATCACATTGTTTTTGTTTTGCACAAGAACGAATGTGGATTTGAAATTTTCTAATCCTGCTTTTACTCCATGAGACATTAGTCTTCAAAGGCTTATGAAATACTGTGCCCTAATATATAGTTACGTTGTAAATGAAATATATTCTTCTAGTAGTAATGGGAAGCGCAGTCACTAAACATTATGTCCTTGACCTGTCAGGTAGGATTTAATAATTTTCTTAAGTACATAGATGTCTTAAAACTGAGACACAGAAGTTAAAGATGTACCCAGAGTTAAGTAGCTTTAGTAAGGCCCTGATACATAATTAAAACATGAGTAATTCGAATTCAGCTTGTAAGGTCTTGATCGGCCCTCGACAAACCTGTAGCAAGATCGTCATCTAAAAGGTGACACGGGGTCCCATTTTACCGGCACAGAAGTTTGGAGAATGTTTGTCTGTTGTTGAAGTGTTTGCTGATTATAGCTTTTCAGTGATCTAAGCATTGTTATGATAAACATCCCCTCTGTACATTGTGACAAACTTGTTATTTCCTCAGGCAAATTCATGTAAGAATTCTTGAGTCACCTTTAAAAGAAAAATGAATAAGTATGTGTGTGTGTGTGTGTCTGTGTGTGTGTGTGTGTGTTGATGGCTGATGATGTAGCCCAGTGGTAGCAGTTAACATGAATGACAACCTGAGTTAAATTCTCAACACTGAAATTAATGAATTGAACATTGAGTCTAATGCTTCAGTCTCTAATGTCTAGAACTTTAAACAACTTGGTTTTGAAATGAATTTATTATAAGAAAATAATCTTTAGTAGAGACACAAGCCCTTTCTTCTTTTTCTTTTTTTTTTAATTTTTTTTTTTAAATTTTTGTCTCAGAAGAGAATGAAGAGGGCTGTTTTGTGGACAAGGTTTCCAACAGAAGGGAATCCCTTGGCAAGAGTATAAGCAGCTTTGGCAGAAAGCCACTCTCCAAAGGAACAGGGCTCAGCTTGTCTCAAGCCAGTGAGTGAGGATGAACTCAAGGCAGAAGGGATGTCCCCGGGACAGCGATGGCACCAAGGGACTGTATGGGTGGAGACACTGCCTTACGGGGAGCTCCCACATTGAGACTCCTGTGGTCTGTCAGATGTATGACTGCTTCAAAGAAGTTACTGTATTTTACATGGACCCACAATGTTCCCCTTATCTCTCATTACAAACACAATAATAATTAATAAATACATAAGGTATAATTACTATAGGCTTGGGTTGTTTCCTTCCCCCTCTCCCTTTTCCTAAAGTAAATAAGTAAATGTGAGTAAAATTCTTCATCTACAAAAGCACATCTGAGGGTAAGACCTCTTCAGGGCTACACATGCAGAAAGCACGCTATGCTTGTTGTGTTCTGGGGCTGCTCTGGATGGGTTTGCGTTCATTCCGTTTATCTTGCTTTTTTATTTCCCCCTTTGAGACAAAACTTTGCTGTGTGTTCTGACTGGTCTGATTCTGTCTAGTTCATGCAAACCTCAAATTTATGTCACTTGTCCTGCCTCAGTGGCTGGAGTACTGTGACTCCAGGTGAATGTCACCATGCCTGGCTTTTAAAATGACCCTTTTAATGAAGAAAATTGCTATCTCTTTGAAGGAATTTCTTGGAAGAATGGATAACAAGCCAGCCATCTCTTCCATGTGTAATTATGTGTGCCATTGTGTGTAGCATTGCTGATTCAGTGTAGTTGGATGTGATACACATGAAGGATTAGTGAGACAGTCATAAAACTCAATTTCTATTTCCAGTTGACCCCGAATGACCGGCAAGAGAAATAGTGGGTGGTATCACACATGCGCGCGCACACACACGTGCACACACACACACACACACACACACAAATATTGATCTATGCCATAGCAGAACTTCCTCCTCATCTAGTCAGTAAACCTCTGAGTATTTTCTAAATGCCTGACATTTTTTATCTGTTATGTATCTTTATCTAAATCCATCCCTCCTTGCTAAAAGCCTGTGGTCCCTCCCCACAACTTCCTCATACACTTAGGGACTTAATGCTACACAACAGCTTTGGACCATTTTCTTATTAAAACCCAAATCCCTTATTTCCTTCCTTGAAGACCCTGTTAGGGCAGAATTTTATTTGTAATAACCTTTTAAATTATAAAGTATATAAACCTAGAGATAGGAATTTTAGAGGAAGAAGACTATATATCATGATCATTTCCTGTGTTGCTACAAACTTATCAACACTGTGGTGGCTAGGTGTTACTCCACTGTGGGCGTAAATTTCTTCACAGTTGCCTGTCTATCGCTCTGAAGACAGTGGGGCCTGGAAGAATGGAGCCTAAAAGTGAAGCTGGCTAACGTCTCATGCAATAGCCAACTTTATTCAGAGCATCAGACAATTTGCACTCTGAGGGCTAAGAAAGGTCACGTGAGCAGAGTTCTCATGAGGTCAAGTTGAATACAGTCACAAGAACGAGCCACACGTGGGTTTTTATTTCATCAAGGCAGTATAAATTAACAACAGCTGAAATAAGCTCACGCCTATCCAGCACACCTGGAAGGAACACAAAAACACAGTTGGAGAAGCTGAGCTCACAAGATTCTTGTCTTGTGTTCTTGAGGTTTTCTCACAAGCACTAAGAATTCTCCTCACGAAGTTCATTTTTTGGACCGTGTTCTGGCCCGTGACAAAATTGTTCGTGTGCTTGAATTTGTCACATGCACGTTGAGGGTACTCACATTTTGTCATTCATTCTCATTGATCGTATTTGGGTCATAATTATTTTAAGGCAATGTACTGTCATTATGACTGATAGACTATAGTTTATTTTTCAAAAGTCAGTTTGTGTCTTTTCACATAGAGTCATTTTGATGTTTAATTAAGAACGCTCACCTTAGAGCTAAGTGCAGAAAAGGTCTGTGTCACACATTAGTGCATCTGTTTTGACAAAGTAGTCATGTTCTTTTTGCATTTAAAGTGGTGGCAGCTCCGGAATGCCACCACGAAACCATGAGACTTGTGCTCAGAGCGTCCACTGTGCACACTCGAGTCATGTACTAAGCTGCTTGAACATTCTCTGGGTTCTAGATAATCCTAGTAATCTTTTCCCTGCTTCTTTTTTGTTTAAACAGAAAAAGGGGAAATGATGGAGGAGGGTCATCTGTCTATTGTGTTACTTTCATTGGTTAATAAAGAAACTGCCTTGGCCCTTTGATAGGACAGAAGATTAGGTAGGCGGAGTAAACAAAACAAAATTGTGGGAAAAAGAAAGCAGAGGCAGACAGACGCCATGACTCTCCTCTCTGAGACAGCCACAGGTTAAAATCCTCCTGGTAAGCCACTTCCTCGTGGTGCTACACAGATTATTAAAAATGGGTTAGATGAATATGTAAGAGTTAGCCAATAAGAGGCTACAGATAATGGGTCAAGCGATGTTTAAATAAATACAGTTTCCATGTAATTATTTCAAATAAAGCTAGCCAGGAGCCAGGTGGCGGGACACAGCCCGCCATTCCTTTTACAGAGTTGTCTGTATTCTGTCAATCATGTATTTTAATAAAACGCTGGTTGGCCAGACAGGAAGTATAGGCGCGTCAACCAGATAGGAAGTAGAGGCGGGGCGATAAAAAACAGGAAAAGGCTAGGAAGGAGGAAGCACATTCCTCCATTCCTGCCCAGGCCACTAAAGAAGCAACATGTGAGCTGACAGCTGGAAAAGGTACCAAGCCATATGGCTAACGTAGATAAGGATAATGGGGTAATATATGTTATAAGAGCTAATAAGTAGTCAGAGCTAAGGGCCAATCAGTTTATAACCTTGTAGAGTCCTATGTGTGATTTTCTTTGGGATATGCCGGTTGTGGGGTACTGGGCGGGACAGAAACCCCAACAAGCCGGCCCTCATGTTACACCTGCTGGCTTCAGTTTCCTTTCAGGTCCTGCGTGTCGGCTCCTCATGCCTTTTCCTTTCCGTTTCAGACAACTCCTCCTCCCTCCAGGAAGATGAAGAAGTAGAGATGGAGGCTGTCAGCTGGCAGGCCGGCAGTCCAGCCATGAACGGGCACCCTGCTGTTCCCCCAGTGACCACTGCCCGTTTCCCCAGCTGGGTCACTTTTGATGACAATGAAGTTAGCTGCCCTTTGCCACCGGTCACCTCCCCCATGAAACCAAATACGCCGCCGGTGGCAGCTGCCGCCCCAGATGCACCCTACAACCCAACTGGGTCATTTAAGAGGGACCGTCCCAAGAGCGCCCTGATGAACTTCTCCAAAGTTCAGAAGCTGGACATTTCCTCCTTAAACCGTCCGCCTTCGGTAATCGAGGCACCGCCCTGGAGGGCCACCAATCCTTTTCTGAATGAGACTCTGCAGGACGTACAGCCCTCCCCTATCAACCCGTTCAGTGCTTTCTTCGAAGAGCAGGAGCGGCGCTCCCAAAGCAGTTCTGTTTCCACGGGCAAAAGCCAAAGAGATTCTCTCATTGTCATCTACCAGGATGCCATCAGCTTTGATGATTCGGGCAAAAGCCAGTCCCACCCCGACGCTATTGAAAAGCTCAAACAGCTCCAAATCGATGACCCCGATCACGTCGGCAGTGCCGCCCTGCCTGATGACGACCCCGTAGCCTGGGTTGACCTAAATGCTCACTCACCTGCCTCAGCCCTGTCTCAACCCAGGGATGGGTGGCCGATGATGCTGAGAATTCCCGAGAAGAAAAACATCATGTCCTCTAGGCACTGGGGACCAATCTACATCAAACTGACAGACAGCGGCTACCTGCAGCTGTATTACGAGCAGGGCCTGGAGAAACCGTTCCGTGAATTCAAGCTGGAGATCTGTCATGAGGTTTCCGAACCCCGGCTCCAAAACTATGATGAGAGCGGGAGGATTCACAGCCTGAGGATAGACCGAGTCACTTACAAAGAGAAGAAGAAATACCAGCCCAAACCCGCTGTGGCCCACACAGCCGAGAGGGAGCAGGTGATTAAACTGGGTACCACCAATTACGATGACTTCCTGAGCTTCATCCACGCGGTTCAGGACTGTCTCATGGATTTACCCGTGCTCTCCATGGACTTGAGCACGGTTGGCTTAAACTACCTCGAAGAGGAGATTACGGTGGATGTGAGAGATGAATTCTCCGGCACCGTAAGCAAGGGAGACAACCAGATCCTCCAGCACCATGTCTTGACACGGATCCACGTCCTGAGTTTCCTGTCTGGGCTCGCCGAGTGCCGCCTGGGCCTCAACGACATCCTTATCAAGGGAAACGAGATCGTTTCCCGTCAGGACATCATGCCCACCACCACCACAAAGTGGATCAAGCTCCACGAGTGCCGCTTCCACGGGTGTGTGGACGAGGACGTGTTTACCAGTTCTCGGGTTATTCTTTTCAACCCTTTGGACGCATGCCGGTTTGAGCTCATGAGGTTTAGGACAGTATTTGCCGAGAAGACCTTGCCCTTCACGCTCAGGACGGCAGCGAGCATCAACGGGGCAGAGGTAGAGGTGCAGAGCTGGCTGAGGATGTCACCTGGCTTCTCGTCGAACCGTGACCCCCTCACTCAGGTGCCCTGTGAGAACGTGATGGTGCGCTACCCAGTGCCCAGTGAATGGGTGAAAAACTTCCGCAGGGAAAGTGTTCTAGGGGAAAAGTCTTTGAAAGCCAAAGTGAACCGGGGGGCAAGTTTTGGCTCGGCTGGTGTCTCTGGCTCTGAGCCTGTCATGAGAGTAACTCTGGGAACTGCCAAGTATGAGCATGCCTTCAATGCCATTGTGTGGAGGATAAACCGACTGCCAGATAAGAACTCAGGTAGGTAGGGATTCTCTGGAGACAACCACTGAGACAGCTGAAAAGCTAGGGTCACCTGCTATAGCCTATACCTTTTATAGCCATAGCCTATACGTGTAGCATCTGATTACGTTGTGTGGTGGAAATGGTGGTAACAGGGAGGGGAGACTAGGAGACTAAAAAAAAAATCTGCGTGTGGTAACAATCACGATGAACCAGTATTTGCATTCCTCACCTTACCATTCTTTAGCTCCCATAAGATGTATTACACTGCTCAGCTGAGCAGCTAACAGCTTGCCAGGGCATCTTCTGAATTGTCTACGCATGAGTATGTGTGTGTGCAAGTGCGTGTGTGCGTGTATGCACGTATGTATAGAAACCAGAGAATGTCATCAGATGGCATTGCTAGGGTCTCACTGGCCTGGAACTCAATCTGCCAGGTCAGCTAGATTGGCTGACCAGTGAGCCCAAGTGATCCACCTGTCTTTATTTCCCCAGTTACGGTTTGTTTTGTTGTTGGTTTAATTATTTTACTATTTTGTGTGTGTGAGTGTTTGGGCTGCATACATGTCTGTGCGCCATGTGTACACATTGCAGAGGTCAAGAGAGGCTTTCAGATCCCATGGAACTGAAGTCCCAGTGGATTGTGACTTAGCAAGTGCATAGTGGGACTAGAACCCAGGTCCTCCTTAAGAACAGCCGGTGCCCTTAACCTCTGAGCCATCTCTCCAGCCCGTCCCCAGCTTTGGAATCATACACAAACACCACCACACCTGGCTCTTTTACATTAGTTCCTAGGAGTGAATTATATTTTATATTTATAGGACCTTAATATTAGCATTTTACTTATTGAGCCATCTCTCCAGCACCTTGAAGTTTTGTTCTTCTGGAACTCATTATTAGGTGTGGTACTAAAAGCAATTTATTCCCTGATTCTGAAAGTCTTGTGGGTTCTGAAGAGGAATCTCTCTTTCCTTAATGAGTGTGAAAGAGCCAATTCGTATCCAACCACATACACAGTACGTGGGAGAAGCGAGCCTCTGCAACTAGCTGTGGTCAGTCATAATATCTCAGACCCAGAGTCTGGCTTTGGGATTCTTAATGGAAAAGAGACTAAATATCCAGGATATCAAGGTCCAAAGGGCCAGAGTTCCACCAGACAGAAAATAAAGAAGGGAGTGTTTGATTTAAACAAACTTTCCAGCCTCACTGCCCTGCTCCCAGCCAGGGGCTGTGCTGTGTGTGCATGCAGAAGGCAGCTGCTAGCATGACTTCGGGAGTGACAGAACAAGGCAGCAACAGCCAGCTCTAATGGCTTTATTTTCTGAAGTGTGTCTAAGTGACCTCAGTGGCCCGTGAAGAGCCTGTGATCCCACAAGCCTTTAAACCACTTCTCATCTTGTCTGTAAGAAACCATGCCCATCTGTTAAGGAAAAGTGGAAGGCAAAAAGAGTGGAAAGAAAAAAAATTACTGGCTTGAAATCCTGGTCGAAGCGCCTTGCCCCTGCTGGCTCACATTCCCACTCTTGAATCGTTACCCTGCATTCAGGGTGTTCTGCCGCCAGTGTGGAGTGGCCGCATTATCATATCTAAAATGGAATTCGATGAGATAGCAAGAGGCCACGCAGTCTAATCAAGTCCCGAGGCTGCCTGGGGAGTAGGCAAACACCGGGCATTCTGTGTCTGACACTGACTCTAGCAGTGCCAGCCAGAGACAATCAGACCCTCTGTGCTGGGGGCCCGGGCAGCCGCCCTCTGCTACCACACTGACAGGATTTGGAAAACAGGCTCCCTCACCGCGCCTGCTTACTCCTTGCTCAGCACTGCATTCTCCTGCTGCTTCTGTGCCGGCTGCCTCAGTCGGCCATCAGGGCCCACCACACTCCACAGTGGAAATGAGTGTGAGGAATTTTTCCTAGAGAGGTGTGGCTGGAAAGGCATCCTGTGTACTGTCAATGAGAAGCCCTGGGGAAGAGAAAGCTGTGAAAGGGCTGGGCCTTCAAGCTGGGGCCTTAGATGAGAGAGTAACAGCTGAGAGATGACCCTACTCACCTGAAGTCACAAGAATGCGCACAGGGTTCTCTTCTCAATACCACAGGTCCCCTTATAGACGACGCCTAGTCGGTGCGTGCCTCAAATCATGTCCACCATGGGAACAAAACTTTGTAGTTTCTCAAAGTACTTGTAAAGTGCCGTGTGAAGGATTATAGTTATAGGCAACAAGGGCTGGCCTTAAATGGGAATGGCGGGGGGGGGGGTGTGAGTAGGTCTCTGAACTGAGGAAAGGTTAAACCACACACATCAGAAAAGAGAGTTCCGGAACAGCACTCGTCACAGAAACTAAGGGTTGTCTCGGTACAGCCATGGAGACAAATTTTTATCATCGTTTTTGGACCTTGCGCCACTTGGCTCAAGTTGACAAGTGACCAGAACAATCAAGATGCGGAGACCACGGCAGAGTGCTGCTTACTGACTTGCTGAGCCCAGGATCACCAGCCTAGGGATGGCACCACCCACAATGAGCTGGGCCCTCCCCGATCCAGCACGAAGAAAATGCCCTGTAGGCTTGCCTATAGCCCAGTCTTATGGAAGCGTTTTCTCAGTTGAGGCTCCTTCTTCTCTGATGACTCCGGCTTGTGACAAGTTGTCATAAAACTAACCAGTACAGCTGGCAAGGATTGCCCAGCTTCTGCCTTGCTAGTCACAAAACCAAAGGCTGGTGATGACCTGTTGATTGCAACCCATTTTCTGAGTTGTCTGTAAGGTATTGTCTTACGAACAAGTTATCTTGGCAAATTGCCCCCCCCCCTTTTTTTAATACAGAATCCTGCCTGTAGGCCAGAAGAGGGCACTCGATCTCATTATAGGTGGTTGTGAGCCACCACGTAGTTGCTGGGAATTGAACTCAGGACCTCTGGAAGAGCAGTCAGTGCTCTTAACTGCTGAGCCATCTCTCCAGCCCCCCACCCCCCGCCTTTTTTTTTTTTTGAGGGGAGCTGGTTTTTGGGTTTTTTGAGACAGGGTTTCTGTGTCGGCTTGACTATCCTGGAACTTGCCTTGTAGACCAGGCTGACCTCGAACCCACAGAGATCTGCTCACCTCTGCCTCCTAAGTGCTGGAATTAAAGGTGTGTACCACCATAGCCCAGCTGGTAAATTGCTTTTTACAGATTGTTTTTTCGTAACTACAACCTCCATTACCGTGAAAGTGTCTGATTCCAGCAAATGTACCCTGGTCATACATGGGGACGTGCATGGCCCACAGATCACACTAATAAATGAAACATTCAGTCCTGCACAAGAACCTCTTTTTTTTGTAAGCTGGTTCTTACTGGTCTAGGTAAAGAGAACACATCCAATGTGAAGGTCCTTTTTTGGAAATAATATGAATTTTAATGCTGAATTTCATCAAGAAAGACAAATTAACATACACACACATATTTGGATATATTTGGTTTTTCAAGACGGGGTTTCTCTGTGTAACAGCCCTAGCTGTCTTGCAACTAACGTTGTAGACCAGGCTGGCCTTGAACTCACAGAGATCCACCTGCCTCAAGCACCACCACCTGGCTCCCCTTACACATTCAATAGTTGAGACGAGGAAACCAGAACAAGATGTGGCTTGCAGAGTTTTCCTGTATTCACTTCCACTTAGAGACAAGCTGAGGAGTAATTTCTCAGTATCCCAGCAATGTCCATTAAAGCTAATTAGAGCAAAACAATTGTTTCAAGTTGCTGTTTGAGATCAGAGGCCTTCTGCTCGGTAGTGAGCAAATCCATAACAGCGTGCCTAGTATTTGGAACCTGGTTTGCAGTCAGCGCGGTCTGAAAATTTTATTCTCAGCTACACTGCTTAATGGTGATGTGACCTCAGGCCATTTCCTTAACCCTTTGAGAGAAATCTCTTTTTTTCTCATCTACGAAGTAGGATTATTAATACCCAGCTCATTCAGAATGAGATTGGATGGTGCTTTTAAGTGTGACGCCGAATATTAGTGATGCTGATAAAATGGTGGCTCTATAATTAGGCTGTGGCACAGGGGGATCGAATGAGCAGATTCATTGCCAGATACCATTGTGTTTTCTTATTGTTATGTGTATCTTGTTTCAGTCTATTTCCTAAAAACCAGTGCGAAATTTTCAGTTGAATTTCCCAGCCTTACTGTTTAGAAATAACCCTCCAAGTATTTTACATTTGTGAAACAGAGAAAAACAAATAATTCACTCTGTAGCGGTCTCCTTGGAGAGAGGGTGTGTCTCTCCTGACTTCCGAGATTGAAAACTCCTGCCCGGAGCAATAAAGAAAATTGGAGTTATTTATTTGGAGAAGCAAGGGGGAGTTAGACAATTCAGTCAGAGCCCTGTCACACGGTTCGCCTGTAGCCGCTCGCTGTTCTCCATCTCTGTGCTGTTGTCCCACAACCTGACCTCCATGTTTGGGGATCTTGAGTTATGACTCAGAGAAAGGGGTGACAGCCCACAGTCATAGATAGCTCTGCCAATTTCTAGCTATGACCTGTGACAGCTGACTTTGCCTCCAGAGACCTCAGTGACCTTAAGGCGGTGGTTCTCAACCTCCCTAATGCTGTGATCTTTTAATACAGTTCCTCATGTTGTGGTAATCCCCAACCATAAAATTATTTCATTCCTACTTCATAACTGTACTGTTATAAATCATAATGTAAATATCTGAGATGCAGGATATCTGATATGTGACCCCCCCCCCCAAGGGGTCGTGACCCCACAGGTCGAGAACTGCTGCTTTGAAGCCAGCAGATCTGTGTGGAGCATCTAGCACAGGGCACCCAGCCATCCCCCCTGAATGATGAAGGAAAGTGATGCTCAGATGTCAGAGTCGCACAACTAAACTCTTTTCCCCCTCAAATCTAGCTTGTCAAGCGAAAAGTTGAACCTAATTTTACCTGTAAGTACAGTCAACCCGTAGATACAGAGTCAGCCACCGCTCTTTAATTCTGCATTTACTGTCCAGCCCGCTTTTTTGTACCCTCCTGACCACTTCACTTTCCAGATGAGGAGTTCAGGTCAGAAGAGAACAAAGGACTTTTCCGCTTGGAGAACTGCAAGTCGACCGAGGCGTTATGACTACAGACCAGACCATCTGTCCGTGGCACTGTATTCCCCGATGTCGTGTGTGCTTCTAGAAGTCCGTCCTTTTCATAGATCATCCACCCACAGACACATGCCTGGGGCATCTCTGAAAATAGAAAATGCTATTAAGAAAATTCATCTTGTAAAGGAAAGTGGTTTGCTCCAGGTGGCCATCACGGTTGCTGTATTAGGTGCCAAGTGCTACTCAATTTCTCAATCTCATCTCTCCGTTCTCCCACTTCTAAGCCCCCCTTCCTTAGTGTTTGTGCTGTGTCTGCGTAGCTCTTTGACCTAAACAGGCACAAGGGCCCCAGTTTCTCAGACTGTGGGGTTTTGGTTTTGTTTGCAAATGGTGTTTGGTCACTTTGATATCTATTTTTTTGCATTGATGTTTTCTCTGCCTGTATGTCTGTGTGAGGGTGTCAGATCCCCTGGAACAGGAGTTATAGATAGTTGTGAACTGCCATGTGGGCACTGAGGATTGAACTTAGGTCCTCTGGAAGAGCAGCCAGTGCTCTTAACCACTGAGCTATTTCTAGCGTGTAATCAAGAGGCACTGAATCAATGGCTCTCAGGCACACTGAAGTCTGCGTACGGAAGCCCCCTTGCTCAGCATTGGACCCCCTAAAGTGCCAGGTACACAGCCTGCAGCCTGCCATTATTATCAAAGTGGCCCTCTGGCTTCTTGTCCTTTTTAATTTCATCCTCAAAGTACTTGACCTCTGATTTCTTTTTTTTCTGTTATAGCTTCTGGTCACCCACACTGTTTCTTTTGCCACCTCGAACTTGGCTCTGACCGGGAAGTGCCTTCCAGATTTGCCAATTATGTAAATGTCGAGTTCAGCATGCCCACGACTTCTGCCTCCAAAGCAGCTGTGAGATCTATCTCTGTGGAAGACAAGCCTGGTGTCAGGAAGTGGGTCAATTACTCTGCCCACTACAGCTACAAGGTAGCCTCAGGGGGCTCTGGGCTAATGTTCCCCAAGTCCGTTTGTTCATTCAACCCCTCCCCCTCTTCCTTTCGGCAAATTCTTCTCATATCAAGGAACTTTACACTCATAGCTGTGGGTGAATCTGCTCCGACTTTAATGAAATAATCTCTCCTGGGTAAGAGAAAGGATTGGAGAAAAAAAAGAATTAAGGGGCTGACGACAGAAATGAAGAATATAATGTCTGACACCATGCAGAATAACAGAAAGAACAGCGGGACCAAGCAATAATTGTTACTCGTCTGTGACATAATTTGGGTTTTGGAACTGGGGAGGAGCATTGCGAACGTGAATAGCTGAAGCAAGTATTTCATCTGTAGGAACTGTGTATCAGAACAAAACAAAGGCACTCACAGGGCAGTGAGAGTGTAACACTTAGAAGCCAAACCCTTTACTGTGATAATAGGATTGAGGCTGTGGGAGAAGTCTGCGATCAGTGCTGGAGAACTGATTTTCTGGTGGGGGGTGGAGTTGGAGACAGGGTCCCCTCTGTAGCCCAGTCGGCTTCAAATTCTGTTGCCTTGCCTCTGAGTGCTCAGATGATAGGTCAGTGACTGCAAAAGCAAGGACTTTTAGCACAAAGAGGTAGACTTGGGTAGAAGATTGACTTCCAAAGACGGAAGGGAAAGAGGCATTAAACGATTATCACAGATTTATATAATTTGCTATTCCTTTAAATATTCCTAGTTGTATCACTTAAGCCTTTTAACATCCAAAAAGAACAAATGCCCCCTCTTGTGGCCAGGAGAAAAGCTAGCATTCCCCGCCCCCAACCATGGACTGTACTCTATCTTCAGTTGTTGCCTCCAAGTGGAGAAGGCTAATATCCAGTGCAGGGCTGAGGAGCAGTGGGGATGATGAGATTCCTCAGCTCAAACAGTCCCTTCCTGACTTATCAGAGCCTTTAGTTAAGGCCTATTACACTTTAAAAAGATGTTTGTATTTGATGTGTATGGGCACTTTGTCTACATGCATGTCTGTGCACCCCATGCTTGTAGCGCCTGACGAGAACCTGGGACTGAAGTCACAGACAGTGGAGACCATGTAGGTGCTGAGAAGTGAACCCAGGCCCTCCAGAAGAGCAGCCAGTATTGTTAACCACTGAGCTGTCTCTCTAGCGCAAGCTGTGTTACTTTCAAAGGGCACAGTATTTAGCAGTATTGGCCGTATTTAGCAGAAGATAGGCTAGACTCAAAAATGCTCCAATACTTATTAGCTTAGCGTCTTAAATGAAGTAGCAGGAGAGGCTGTAAACTCAGCAGTTGCCTACTGGATTTCTACACCTTGGATAAAACGAGCTAGATCTTGCTCCTGTCCCGTGGGGCCTATGAATAGTGGAGCCAGGGACACCAGAACTATTCAGACGGAAGTCGGTCACCCCACTAGATGAGGAGCAACCTTACAAGACAAAGAATAAGAATTTCCCAGAAGGACCACGAAGAGGGGATTCCACACCTTAAAGGGCATCGTGGTATATATGCAGGACTAGTGGTTCCATTAGGGCAGCAGCCTAGAACAGCCACAAAATAACTTTCTGAGGTTCTTTGGGTTCCTTGGTTTTCATGCTTTTCCTCTCCCTCCCTCTCGTTCCTGATGTTTTCGCTTTTTTTTTATTCCAATTTTTTTTATTTGGTGAGGTTTTTTTATTATTAATTTATAAAAGTTTCCACTTCCGCGCCTCCTCCCAATACCCTCCCATTCCCCCCACTCCCTCTCCTCCTCCCTCTCCAGCCCTAAGAGCAGTCAATGTTTCCTGCCCTGTGGGAAGTTCAAGTTCCTCCCCCCTCCCTCCAGGTCTAGGAAGGTGAGCATCCAAACTGACTAGGATCCCAAAAAGCCAGTATATGCAGAGTAAACAAGTCCCAGTGCCATTATCAATGGCTTCTCAGACAGTCCCTATGCCAGTCACATTCAGAGAATCCGGCCACATTCAGAGAATCCGGTTTGATCGATCTTTTTTTTTTTTTTCAGGTGGAAATTGAACAAAAAAAGAGTTTGAAGCCAGACTTTGAGGGAGAGGAGTTGGACAACCCAAAGGAGTGTGGGGTACAATGACAGTGGCCTACTGTGTAAGGACCTGAGGAACGCTGACTCACGATCGGGTGTCTTCCTGAATACGTCAAGATTAAGTCAACACCTGCTGTGGCTGCTTCTCAGTGGGAGCAGTCTACCACAGTTCCCTGTGTGCAGTCACCCGTGTGCAACAGGAAATCTTGAGGGGGTTACTTTCAGTAGACTCCTTGACGCTGAGCATGCCTGAAGCATGGGTGCACCCAGCTTTTGGAGTGTATTGTATATTGAGCCTCCTTGTCTCCTTTCTGCTTATATCATGACACTGGGGTGTGGTTTATGGTGACGATTAGCGACCTGAAGAGAACATCCAACGTCAATCTTGGCACAGTTTGCTCCCGGTCTCCATCTGTCCCTTGTAGGTTTCTGGAAAAAGCAGTCTGGAAAGTTAAATCAAGACTCCATCTCCAGGGATCCCTCTATAAAACAGTGAGAAGACTTTCAAAACCATTTCCCTTTGGGTCTACTAGGCCTTTTCTAGAACTCTCCATTCTTTAAATGCTGATTTTACTCCACAGAGGTTTTCCAGATGTTTCCTTTCTATTCTGGATTGTTCAAGGTCAAAATATTTTTCTTCAACTCCTCCTTTCCCATTTGCTATCCTAAGTCATGATACCCAGCGGGAGAGGCCAATCAGATTTCTTTTTTTCAAATCCAGGGGTTGGAACTTAATTCTACCAATGAACTGGATTGGATTCATGATCTGTTGAAAAGAACTCGAAGGAAAGGGGACATTACATGTAATTATATTCAGTTCAGAAGACAGCTTCAGTCATGATGGATTGCCAGATTCTCACCGATCACTTCTAATTCCTGAAATACAGGCATGGCTATGGGAGAGGCCTGTGAGAAAGGCACTTGGGAGTTCTTTTTATACCTCATAGGCAAGGACTGTTACATGTCCCTTTAACTCAAAATTTAGAGAAAACTTAAGGAGTAAAAGCTCAATTGGAATGAGCTCTGCCTCAAATAACAAGCTTGGTGTTGGTGGTCAGTGTTGTGAAAGTACAAACAGGCAGAAGCCTCCGGGGTGGGGCTGGAGAAAGCCGGGTTCCCGGTGTCATGAACATGAAAACCTGATTCTGAGAACCAGAACTTCCCTTTCTGTCCCATGTTCCCAGCCCACCCACTGCTCCCCACTCCCTGCTTATTTGTACCTTGGTGTTTTCTCTCTTGAAGGATAAAGTGAGGGGACAGAATGCATATTTTATCAGACTTGGGAAATATAAGGAAATATAAAATACCTGCAGTTTGGGACTGACTGATTCAAGATTTATCTATTGAGTTCATATTTAGTGAGATTGATCTATGTACTGGCCTTAGACATTAGAAATCATTGCAGTGTTTTAAACTGAGTTGTTTTGTTTTCAAGACAGGGTTTCTCTGTGTAGCCTTGGCTGTCCTAGAATTTTCTCTGTAGACCAGATTGGCTTTGAACGCAGAGATTCATCTGCCTGTCTCCAGAATGCAGGAATTAAAGGCATGCACCAGTACCTTCCCCAGCTTGAACTATGTTTTTAACTGTCTAAGCATTAGATTGAAATGTGAAGGACAAGCTGCAGAGGCATAGACCTGTGTTTTGAGTTTTTAAAATGCCACCCTTTCAGTTCGGAAGTGCGGGTGTGCATAGAACCCAGGAGGCTGGGTTTTATAGCAGTTTATATAGAAATGTTTTCTTAAGGAAATGGGAGGTTGGTTTTGAACCAGGTATATATCATGGCTATTCACAAAGCTAATGCATTCCACCTGTGGTGGTAGGTGTTTAAACAACTCTGCTTGGTGCATTGGCCCACACATGCCTGAATGGAGGGGTTGCACCCCATTATAGCTACTATATTTTAAGGGAAGCATTAATAAGTTGAACGTGTCCATAGGCAGGTAAGCAAAGTTGCGAAGATTGTGACTCTATAAGGAACGGGGGAGGGGTGGGAGTGTTCTCCAGAACAGAGGGTGTAGCTGCGAACGGAGGACAGTTTGGAAATGATGTAATGGCTGCCACCAAGTTTCAACTAAACTATAAAAAGGAAGAGGAGTTAGATTTGCTTTGCATAACTTCAAAGGCAAACAGAATAGAAACCTAAGAGAACTTTACAGATGACAGATGTTTGCTCAAGATAAGCATCTTCTAGTAAGGAGTGTTCTAAAGAAGAAAAAGGTCAAGTAAGATTTCCGGCTGTAGCAAATGTCCATGGGTTAACTGAGCCACGCCTATCCCAGGTGCTGTGAAAGGGACGGTCACATTGGTTTGGGGCAAGATGACAGGAACGCTCTTTTCCAAATAGTCTCGATAGGAATGAGACGCTCTAGCTCGTGACAGCCTTTCTCTGTTTTCGTCCTGTTGGAGGACAGTGGGATCCTCGAAAAGAACTTGGTGAAAGAATCCCATCTCGTTTCCGCTGTTGAGCTAAAGGCCTTCAAGAGTTCTCAGATGTCCAAGGGCTTGAAGCGTGGGCAAGAAGGTCATCCCTAGCCCGGCGCTGTTAGGGGCCATGCCTCGGAGGAAGCATAGTGTGCTCGGCACCCGTGCTCTCTTCTCTCCCACCCCCTCGGTTAATTCTTCTTGCTTTGGTGCTTCTCCTGGACTGGTTGGAATTTTGTTGTTTTACCATTAATCAAACATTGGTTGAAAAAAAAATACTCCCCTCTGTGCTATTTGTATCTAGTAAGCAAATTATCTTTAAAAATCTACTACCTTGGTCACCAAATTTGTTTTGCCTCCCCTGTGCTTAGGGTCCTTATGGATAACAATGTAGGAAGCTAAGGGGTATGATAAAATGTATTTGAGGACTTATGAATAACCTATATAAAAAACCTCAGTTGGGCAGATTACCCTTTTGATATGCAGAATGTGTGCTTGCCACATGGGCCCTCAGTTTTTATTTTTCCTGTGGTTACCAAAAAAAAAAAAAAAAATCCTAGTCAGTGTTCTCAATAATGAAAAAAATATAAAAAGAGGATGGATTTTACCAATGCAGTTAGAACACGCTTGGTGTCACATGGAATAGAGTCAAGAGCTTGTTTTTCAACTTTACAGTCAAATAGGACAAAAAAGATACTCATTCTACTATATCAAACAAGAGGGCTGGCCATGTAGCTCAGTGGTAGAGAACTTGTCTAGCATGCACAAGACCCCGGGTTCAACCCCCAGTACCAAATAAATAAGCAACAAAAAGAATGGGGGGGTTGGAGGACAGACCACGACACCTCTCTTGTAGACACAGTGCGGGTTAGTTATTTCTTTTCAAAAGCCAGCCCTTTGATCCTAGAAGACTTTTTCTTTCCTTGTTGTTTTGTTTTGTTTCCTGTTTGCTTTCCCACCTCACTACCTTCCCACATTTGCTGTCCAGGCTTGTCCTCAAGAGTATTCCTTTATTTAAAAGAGTCCTTATTTGAAATGAGACTAATTTCAGTGTAGAAACCTGGTTGGGATCAGGAATGTAGGTCCCTAGAAGGTCTACTCCTGAGAAGTGTGATCATGAAGACAGATTATTGTGGTTATTACTGAACCACTATCCTTGTGATTTAAAGGCCTGTCACAGAGTGTGAGCCCAGCCACCTTAACTCCTTACTGCTAAGTCAAATACACTCATTAAATGAGTGGAAATTATCGGCGCTTTGGCTCTGAGACCGCTTAGCCTTTGTTTAGTTAGCGCCCAGTACTCACGTTACAGCTAACAAGCAGCATTTATTTTCCGGAGGACTTAAACACATTTATTTGGCTTTTATTCCTGCCACCAGTGGGAACCAAGCGTCAGGACAGAGGCACTTACTGTGTGGCTGAATCTGACCCACAGTGGACCTTATTCATATTGAGAACCATTTTTGTGCTCAGGTATGGAGGAGCGCAGGCGTTGTCCACAGTTAGGCTATTGATCCAGTTTTATTGCTGCCACTCAAACAGACCTGTGAGCCTCGACCTTGCCCACAAGAGTAACCAGTGGAAGATGCACGCGTCTGATGGAGCCCACAGCCGGCCCTGCTCTACCAGGTCGTCATCTTCCCAACTGTAACCACTGGCCAGTGCTACTGTGCACACCACGTCCCCACATGGGGTGGAGATCTGAGATGGGAAGGCTGAGGCTCACCAGGTGAAATCATGATTTCAAAATTTCTGTTTTATAATCAGTTTAGGGGTTGAGAAAGAGAGAGAGATAGATTGAGCTGACCTTTTTCTATTTTTCTTAAAAGTTCAAGGAATTAACTGTTATGAGTAGGAAGTGATACCATCCAATCCACTTGTATAATTTCTTCTGGTAAAAACTGGTATATATTTTTAAAGTGTTTCAAGACAGGGTTTCCCTGTGTAGCTCTGGCTGTCCTGAAGTTCCCTATGTAGATCAGGCCGGCCTTGAACTCAGAGTGCCACCTGCCTCTGCCTCCTGAGTGCTGGGATTAAAGATATGTGCCACCACCACAAATTTAATTCTTCTAAGAACGGTTGATTTAAATTAATCAATCCTAGCTTGTCTGAAGTTGAGACTATGATTAGATTAGACTTTAATAGAGGATTCATGAACAGAGCTAACAAAAATTAAAAATATACCATCTAGTAAATGAATCTTGCATTAATACTTCTACCAAACTGTGATAGCATTTTCTATAGAATTAGTCAGTGTATTCTCACTATGATTCTAATTGATGTTTTCTAAACATGACCAGTGTCGATTTACCAGTTCCCTATACATGACCATGTTTTATTTATGCTCTTTGTAAATGAGATTGGTTTCAGATATTATCATTTATAACTGAAGGAAATACAGAAAGCAGTCTTAAGAGGAGGAACAAATGCATGTATTAGTAATAGTCCCATGGTCACCCAAGCAAGAACATGGAAGTTTTATTTTTCTTCTAGTGTGCCTTAGACAATTTGCCAATGAAAGTTCAGTTGTATACTTTAAGAATTGAAAGGGGGACTGTGTGTGTGTGTATACATGTGTGTACATATATTTCACCCTTTCAGTTCTTTAAAGTATGTGTGTGTGTTGCAACTCCAAGCCCACGAAGGTAAGAAAGTTTCTATAGTACTATGTTCTGCAGAACCTGGGACAATGCAAATAAAAGCTAGATGTAATGAAAAGCTACTAAAGAACAGACTAAAGAAAACAATAATGAAAAGAGTTGAAGCATTTACAGCATTGGCCACCAAGATTCAACGTAACCTGAACTGGAGGCTGTCTCTTAAAGTAAGAAGCTATGGGAAAGAGGGGCGCCTAGCAGGACTAGACAGCAGAACTCTTCAGCCCAGCTCAGCTTGCATCAAGTGCTCTTGCTAAGGGACAAGTGCCCTGGCTAAGAGACTCGAAGGGAGGAGAGGCTGTACAATAGGATGCTGAAAATCGTTGTTGGTAGCCATGCGGGGATGGCTTTAGGAAGGGAAAGTTGGGCTCTCTGGCTGTGCATAAGCATGGGGACAATCACTATTGCTAACTCACCTGTTATTTCCCCAACTTGATGTCAGTTTCCAGAGACAAAAGAGAGAGGGCTGGACTTTCGCTTCTTGGGTTATTTTTTTTTTCCAGCTGTGGTTTTTATGGGTTGTTTCACAAAATGTCCTTTCTTGCCACGTTTTGTTGATATCCCTTGTCTGCGAGGTTCTTTATCCATGCTTACGAACCAAGAAGTTTAACACATGTAAGCTGCAGAGGCCAGCTAGTTTTATCTTTTTCTGCTCAAACCCCTTTCCTTCCTTACGCTTAGCTGACAGAACTGCAGAAAAGCCCCCAATTCTCTGTGTTGCAGTTGACTTCAAAATACCAGCTTAATACAAAGGTCAAAAGGGCAGTTTCCCCAGTGGATATTGGGATGTGAATACCAGGCGAAACTTAAGTAGATCTAACCCTCCAAGTACTGACGATGTTAGGGTGTAAGATGGTCTAGGATTTATAGGTAAATCCTTTTATGTGGATGGCCATAGGAGGGAGGGGAGAACAGAAACTAATCTGGAGCCATCTGTATTTATAACAAAGTCAACAAAGAGAGAAAACCACACATTAAAATGTATTTAATTTTTTAAAGTGCGGATCATTATAAAATAACTTTCTGTGGGGTATATTTGAGCATGACTTTAGTTTCTCCTCTGGTTAGACTTAGTCAGACTTAGACTGACAATGAGTCAGTGCTAACTGGTCAGGTGGAGTCCCAGCATCCTCTCCTTCGTTCCCATGTTCTGCCTCAGACCGAACCCCAGTTCTCACTGTGGACACTAGCCACACTGTGACTGACGCCTTAAGGGCCACCATTGCCCACTCCACGTGCTTTCCAGTGGACCATCCCAGCGCAACTCCCAGCAGCAAGTTCTATGAACGCAGATGTACACTTAACTCCTTATTGGATCTAAGGGTTTTCAAGAATGGCGTGTGAGAAGGACGACGTGAGCCTCTTTCCCCTTCTGCCAGCGTCAGTTTATCTTTTACGTTCTCTTGCCAACAGAAACTGGAGAACCCTTTGCCATGTTCAGAAGGCTAAAGGGGATCAGTGTTTGAGAAAAGGCAAGGCAGGAATATCCCTTCTCACCTTCCCCCTTGTGATGTCCGTGTGAATTTCAGTGTGTCAGGGTGGTTGGACCCAAGATCCAGTGAATGGCTTCACTGATCTGAGGCTTGTATTTCGCTTAATGTGTTACTTATCCTTACTCAGTGTAACTTCTTGCACTATTGTGGCTAATTTTATGTAAAACCAGGTAACTTTTAAAAGAATGTGCCTACGTAACAAAGTCTACACACTGGCTATTCCTGTAGAGGTGAGGTTTTGTTTTTGATGTTTTGCTGAATAATCTGTAATATCTTTTTCGAGCAATGAAAAGGAAGTATCAATAAAAAAATTTTAAGCAAAGTGTCATTGCAGCATTTAATGAATGCAGGTGTGATAAAGAGTACATTTGCCAGCTATGGTGGCGCATGTCTTTAATAAAAGAACAAGAGTACGTACATGTTTGCTATGAGGGCCATTACCCAGCCGATACGGTTTTTTTGGTCATAAGGTGACGAGTAATTTGCTTAAATTAATCTAGATAAATTTACAATTTAAGTCAGTTCTAAATACAGTGATCACATAGGATATAAGATGGTCCATGGTTTATAGGTTCATTCCTTTATGCGGATGGCTATAGGAGGGAGGGGAGATTACATCACATCCATCTGGAGGCTGAATGCTATGAGAAAACAAATGGAGCATGTGTGGTCCCCAGGTTGTCTTGGAGGTGAGTATGGAAAGCCCAGAGATACTGAGTTTGTATACAAGTCCAGAACAAGTCCTGGCTTGTTGCCCGCACTCAACCAGTAATGAATTGACGGACTAGTTACCAAGGTCAACATAAACCCAGTTAGAGGGCTGGAGAGATGGCTCAGAGGTTAATAGCACTGACTGCTTTTCCAGAGGTCCTGAGTTCAATTCCCAGCAACCACATGGTGGCTCACAACTATCTGTAATGAGATCTGATGCCCTTTCCTGGTGTACAGGCAAACAAGCTGTGTGCATAACAAATAAATAATTTTAAAAAAATAAATAAACCCAGTTAGAAAAAAATCAGCATGGACTACAATATTTAGAAAATTTTCACAGGAAAGAGCTTTTGGGAGAGGCCTCCTCGTAAAAAAGACTAGTGTGTCAAAAGCTCATTGAGTGTTTTAGACTATTGGGAAGATTAAAAGCAAAGAAGATGATGTCATGGTTTGGTTGTTTTGTTTTGAAGTAAACATAGCATAAAGAAATAGGCAGCATAGTGTTTTGTTTAGTTCACATTTTATTACAGAACACAAATGTACTGTGGGAGAGCTCAGACTAGTTCAGTGGCTCTTACTATCAAGGGATGTCTGTCCTGAACTGAACACGGAATTCCGTAGTCTATTCAGTACAAAATGGGCTAGGAACTGGTGTCAAAGAGTTAATAGCTCGGCAGTGGTGGCGCATGTCTTTAATCCCAGCACTCAGGAGGCAGAGACAGGTGAATTTCTGTGAGTTCAAGGCCAACCTAGTCTACAAAGGGAGTTCCAGGATGGCCAGGGCTGTTAAGTTATAAATGGGAGCATAGCATTTCCTTTAATTGAGGATTCTGGAAAGAAATCTTTCCACTATTCTAGCCCTTTAATAAATTTGAGACATAACTGTGTAGGTTCCACATTGTCACAGGTTTAGGTTTAGCCTTCTAGGTCCTTCTTTTTCTAACTTCCCAGTAGAAAAGTACCTGAGACCCACACGCTTGCCCCTGTTCTACAGAATCTGGGCAGGGGAGTTGAGGAGGAGAGAGTGATGACAGCTGAAGTATCTTCAGTGCCATTTGTCATTTGCTCTAGTATCTTCTCAGCTACTTGGTCACCTCCAGCTCTCTTCTGTTTCTCCATGTTGGGGTAGTTTTCTTCTCCAAACGTAGTGTTAGGGGCTAGAGAGATGGCTTAACAGTTAGAAGTGCTTGCTGCTCTTCCAAAAGGACGTACATGAAAAACATCCTGTAACTCCAGCTCCAGGGAGATCAATACTCTGGCCTCTGTGGCTCCCTACATTCATACATACGCATGCCTACATATACATACGTAACACATTTTTTTAATCCTCTAAAAACATTAGAGTCATGTGCATGTCTTTTTTTATATTTTTATTTATTTATTTATTATGTATACAATATTCTGTCTGTGTGGATGCTGCAGGCCAGAAGAGGGCACCAGACCCCATTACAGATGGTTGTGAGCCACCATGTGGTTGCTGGGAATTGAACTCAGGACCTTTGAAAGAGCAGGCAATGCTCTTAACCTCTGAGCCATCTCTCCAGCCCTCATGTGCATGTCTTTAATCCCACAATCCCAGCACTCAGGAAGCAGAGGCAGGTGGATCTCTAGGTAGCCAGTTCTACCTAGTTCCTGGACAGCCAGAGCTACATAGTGAGACCCTGTCTCAAAACAAAACAAACAAGAAAAAAACACAGTATTTTCACACAATTATCTACTGATTATACTCTGTGACCACCAGTACAAAGATTTGCAGTATGTTTTCTCACTTAATGTAAGTAATCACCTTTCTCTGACTGGTGGCTGGTTGGTGGCTATAACAAACTTCACCAAAAGTTAGGAAGTGATGGCATGGTAGTTTGAATGAGAACGGCTCACATTGGCTCCTATACTTGAATGCTCGTTTCTGCAGTTGGTGAACTGCTCCGGAAGAACTAAGAGGTGTGGCCTCTCTGGAGGAGGTGCGTCCCTGGACTTTGAGGTTTAAAAGGCCCACACCATTCCCACTTAGCTTGCTCTGTCTCTCTGTATGCTCTCAGCATTGCTCCAGAGCCATGTCTGCCTGCTGCCGTGCTCCCCACTGTGATGGTCACAGGCTCACCCTCAGACACTGTTCGCAAGCCCTCAGTTAAATGCTCTCATTGACAAGTTGCCTTGGTTGCGGCGTCTCTTCACAGCAATAGAAAAGGAACTGTAAGAGCTATGGCACAGAAACAGACACTCCTGCTCCGAAATGGCACTGGCCACACCCTACTGACGGAGTTCCCTATAAAACACTATCTTCTTAAGCCCCAACCTGAGGAGACCAACTGCTCAAGTTCCCAAGCCATTCTCTGCCAATGAAGACTAAAAACTGAACATCCTGTCCCCGTGGCGGTAATATTCTTAAGTGAATGCTCTCAAACCTCATATAAATGCTCACACCGGAGGCCAAAGAGCAGATAAGGGACAATTTTTAATGACAGTTGCTCTATGACCCTCAACTCACTCTTTGATTTCTCCCATGTGGATACCCAACAGTCATCACTAGCCAAGATTGTGAACAGTGGGAGGAAGTCATTAAAATGAAATCTACTGGCATAAATGAACTTCCAGACTTGACAGCATCTTTTGTCTGCTGCACAGCAAACAGGATAGCTGGCCAGACAACCTGAAGGTGAGTAAAAAATCACTTTGCTTTCTACTTCATTCACTCTATGATACAAAGGTTTTAGTTCCATCCTGTCCCATCCCGCCCTGAACCCAGTGAAGGATCTTTCCAAACAAAATGAGTTCATCTTGCATTGCCAAAAAATACAAAGTTGCTCAAACATTACAGATAAAATGATCAGGAAAAGTTAAAGTCAAAATGCCTGACCCGGGGGCTGAGACTTGGCTCGACAAGCAAAAATGCTTTCTGGGCAATCCTGATGACCCAAGTTCTAGAGTTCAAAGCCAGAATCCGCATGGAAAAGATGGAGGCATCGGTGCACATCTGAATTTACAGCCCCAACAGTACTGCAAGGTGGGAGGCAGAGATGAGAAGCTAAACTCCACAGCAGAAGAGCAGCGGAAATAGCAAGAGAGATCCGGCCTCCAAGACCAGATGGAAAGGAGTACTGGCTGCCAGATGCTGTCCTCTGATTTCCATATGTGCACGTAGCATGTATACACACAAAATCAATTCCTAATCAATCTTTAAAAAAAAATACTACTTTCCTTCTGAGCAACAAGTGTAGGTCAATAGAGCAAAATCCAAGGGCCAGGGATTTCAACGTCCCCCCTCTTCTTCCCCAACACCTCCTCCTCTCCTCTCACCTCCTTCGCCTCTCCTCTATACTCTACTAAACAGGTAAAGATAACATGATGAATCTAGTTAATCCTGAAGAATCTAGTGGCAGTGGTAGAGAAATGGGGCACCTCGAGTGATCTAAAACACTCTGATTATCGCTGCCTACTTTGACTCCGTTTTGTTCTGTTTCTGTTTGTGTATGTCCTCAGCTGCTTTTTTTAAAAAGTGTGTGTGTGTGTGTGTGTGTGTGTGTGTGTGGTCATGAGTTTTATGAACACTGTGTATGCAGGATCCCACAGAGGCCAGAAAAGAGTTACAGGGAATTGTGAGCTATTGTGAGGATATGAGGGTGCTGGGAACCAAACCCGGGTCCTCTGAAAAAGCAGTAAAGACTCTCAGTAACTCAGCCCTTCCTCTGCTACTTTTAATACTTGTTTGCTGGGGGCTGGAAAGATGGTTCAGTAGTTTAAAGCACTGGTTGCTCTTTCTGAAGATCCTGGATCCACAAGTTGTAGGCAGAGAGAGAGAGAGAGAGAGAGAGAGAGAGAGAGAGAGAGAGAGAGA